TGATATACTAAAAGGGTTCTTCCAGCCTCAGGGCCCATTTCCTTGACGTCACCTTGTGCTACACCACTTCCTGAGGCAGAGAGCGTACTCCTTTTTTTCCTGTTTTCTGGAGAACATTGTAAACCAAGAATCCAGGGAAGGGCACTGAGACATGAGAACACGGAGCCACTGTCTCTCCAGTTGTGCTATTTATTCAGGTACATCTGTAGAATAAGAGAGATACAGGTCCAGGGCTCGTGGCACTAGTTACCTCCTGCAGTCCTATGTACTTCAGTGTTCCCTGGTCCTGCAGCTCTCTGTGAGTAGCAAAACAACTGGGAGAAGAAAAGGTTATTTGGTTTTAAGCAAAGGGTTATGTGAAGAGCAGAGAATGCCTTGTATTGCCTGTGCGAGTTTTAATCCTGCCAATTCAACAGGCTGCAGCTTTCACAATGGAAAGCCTTGTGCTGGTGTCAGTGGAGTTTGGATCAGATGCCTTGCTATTGTATTTCATGTAAGGAACAGAATAAAACAGAATCCCAAGTTAACAGCATGAGTAAGCTCTGTTCAACAGATGAGAGGAGATAGATGTGAGTAGGAAGCCTGAGGAGCTCTGATTTTTTCATTAGATTTTTTTCTCCAGTCCTAGTAGAAGGTTCCCTAAGAGGTAGCCTGACACCACTTACTCACTTCTAAGGGCTATGCAGGGCAGACAGCAGCACTTGCAAGTTTCTACTGATCTCAGCTTTCAGCTCCTGACCTCAGCAGGAATTCCACTCTAATACTCAGAAGCTGCCTCATCCCACCTAATAAAATATCCCAAATGGCAATTAAATCGCCAAAGGCTTTGCATTTTCCAAACTAATGCAGTGAAAATAGCATTTTGCACAAGTTCTTCGAGGAAATGGGAGACAGGGAAAAAAATCCAAACATGTAAATAAAATGAATCACAACCACTATGACCTAATGTTTTAGAAAATGCCACAGAAAAACTTGCTGTCTCAGCTTTTGATTCCCAAATCAAAGAGGTTGAGATAAACATTAGCTAAGGATCAAGTCAAACAATATATCAGTGCTTCTTTCTTTATAGGAGTAGCACCAGAAAATTCAGTGACTGACACTGCCACATGCAATCCAGACAATCAAATGCTGGCTTCAAGAAGTTCATTTATCAATCATTATCAGGGTCAAGAATCACTATTTGCTTCTCTGAGCAGCTTTCTAGAACTCTTTTGTGAATATAGACATAGTGGAAGCCTACCCCTAATATGTCTAAATATGATTTACTCTCTAGTCCAATAGAGGATACCACACAGCTCCTATGGCTGGAGCTGCTTAGCCAAGGCCCATAGTCCTACATGGCATCCCGAGTTTTAGCTTCTCCATCCAAACCAGAACACGCTTCCACATTTGTGGAGCTATGTATGTTACCACTTTTAAGAAGCCTGTGAAATATATTAAATGGTTTCAGAGATCAGAGGCCTGATCCAAACCCTCCTGAACTCAGCAAAGGGGATGTCTTTGATTTCTTGTTTTGGATCAGATCTAGCTGCTGGGTTTCTCAGTATCACCGCAGGCAGTATCCATCGCTGCTGTTCGGAGTTGGCTGGGCTTGCTGGAATTACAGCAATACTTTCTAAGGAACTAGGGCTTTTTAAAACCTTCATTTGCTTTGGTTCACAGACTTTGGCAGAATGTTGACTTTCCATATTGTTACTTAACTCCACTGAGGTCCATAGGAAATCTGGGAAGGGGATGCTTCTTTCAGAGATGACTTTCAACACCTTGCAGAGCAGATGGCTGGGGCTCTGTGCATACATCCTCAGGAGCCCCTGTCTCAGCATGGCTGCATGTGATCTGGAAAGGCACGTTACCCTGAAACTCAGGAGTTGTTTATGCAGAAAGTACACTCAGCATGGTGTTGGCCACTCTGGTTTTCAACTGTCCCTCTCCTCCCAAGTTCAATGGTCTAACTTACAGTATGTGGTGTTTTGCAAGTCAGATAACTAAAATAATGTGGAAGTGGAAAATCATGTGTGTGCTTGGGCCATACATTGAAGAATGTTATGGTTACCTCAGTGTATGGGTTGCACAACTCCGTTTCTGGTCTCTTGAAGCTGTACCACAGCTTATTCCTGATCACCTGAGTGAGGTTTTGGACGCAGCAACTGATATTTTAAGACACATGAATATAGGCAGAATGTCCTCTTAAACCTTGTCCCTCCTCCCTCACCCTTAAATCACCATTAGATAAGTTACCCATTCCTCTAAAGATGGGAACATTCCTCCTGAATCAGAGTTGAGTTTCATTTATGTCTGTGCCTGTTCTTTAATGGTGGTCCACATCAACTATTTAATGGGGTAAACTTTACTCATCATTTATGACTCCGTACACAAAGTTTTTCCTCTCCACTCCATCCAAAACCATATGTAGGAGACATATTCAGTGCTTAACTCTTAAGACTCTTCTCAGTATAAGCATACAATAAGAATGAACCTAAGCCTGCTTCAAATCTTCCTGAGACTGGAGCCAGAGAGGTGCAGTACTTGCTGAAGGCTTTACAATGACCCACTGGAAGAATGCTACAAACTGGTTTCTCAGTCCCATCATAATGAATTAATGAAATCAGAAACCCCTTCAGCTGCCTCAGGGAAAGCCAATACATTATTTTTTTGTGCAAAATATCAATTGGTTTAAAAAATACATATATATATGTTGCCTTTAATAAAGAGAGTGAATTTAGGGGGTTTTACATAGGACTTTTTGTCTTCCAGCGCATAGGGGCTGCCTCTGCCTCCCTCCCTGCCCGTGATCTCTGCCCCTGTGGATGCCCTTTGCATGGAAGCTTTTCACTCAGCAGCATGACTGACTGAAGGAGCTACTTATGAGAAGGTTCAGCTCATTTCAAGATGTTTGTCATGAACCTGCTCAGTCAGCCGTGTTTTTCCTGTTTTACTTCTCAAAGGCAAACACTGTGAACAAGGGAGCAGATCTTATCACGGTGATGTTAACAAAAATACATCAAATAAAAATCTGTTATATTACAAATGTCAACACTCATGAAAAAAGATATCTAAACTACAGCACAGTTGCCTTTATTGCCAAAGCAATTCCCAAAGATTGGTCCGAGAAGCAACTTCTCTGTTTTCTCTCATAGGTGCTATGGACCTGTGGAACAAATGGCTCTCTTGTTTGTTATACATTAACACCACAGGGTGCTGTCAACAGAGACAGAAATATGCCTACCTAGAATTTCGCTCTCTGGTTTGATATTTACTTTCAGTGTCCCCTGATCCAGATTGAATAATTGGGAGTTAGATAAAGGATTAGTCACTAAAATCAGGTTCAAAAGTGCTACAGACAGCCTAAGTGGAAGATGTTTATCCTGTATTTTCCCTGGCTTGTTTTGACTCTTGTTTTTCACTGTGTAAAACTGAGCAAAAGCATCACTTTCTCCCGCCACGAAGCCAGAGGGATTCAAAAGTCACACAAATCCGTAGGCGATTAATTAAACCTCAAATCACTGCCACGGCCTGACAGGCTCCGAATCACATGAGCTTGGGCTGGTGGCATTCTTCCTCAGGAACATTCTGCACAGTGCTAAGCTGTATTCACTTCATAATGAAAAGATCTTCAGGGAATGAAGTCTGTGAAAAACACAAAGTGGTGTTTCCCACAGAAAAAGCGAGCCACACCGCTTGGGTGTCTTAGTGTGGGAGCAACTGCAAGGCTGATTAGGCTCAGGAGAGAAAGTACAGATTAAGGAGACTAAAAAGTAACCTAGAAGGTTCTGGAAGGAAGCCAGAAGTACTGTAACAAAGGGAAAGCAATCTGAAAACAATAATGTGACAAAACATCCCACGGAAAGAAGCAAGGATGCAACTCCAGTCCATATGAATGCTAGATAGATGAAGTTATCTCCCAGCTACTGCCAGCACAAACATCATTTACGGAGCTTGACAGCTGCACGGCAATTAGGAGAGGAGCTTGTGTTTACTTGCGTTTCAAGGCAGAAGCAGCCAGTGGGTTCCAGCAACATCATGACGCGTGTTGATAATTATGATATTATGCCATTGATTTGGTCTCGGGGTGTTTTTCAAATCAGGATTTGAGATCGCTTTGTTCTCCTGTGTCAAACTCAGCTTTGAGGTCATTCTTTGCCTTACACACCCTTGGCTGTTTATGAACGTCCTCACAAAACTCAAAGCCCATTTCCCATTGAGGAAGACAAGAAACAGGTTTGTGTCATTGTCTGGCTCAACTGTTCTTCATAGCTATATAATAATTCCAAAGAGAGGAATACTTACTAGCTTGAAGCTTTATTGTTGTAAAAGCCTCATAACAACAATGAAAGGATATGCATGGTACCAAGCACAGGATTGAGGAGAACCTGCTTTTCATATTAGAGGGAAATGAATGAGAATGACATCCATCTATTGGAAAGGAAAGTTAGTAGAAGGTTCAGTGGGCCTATAATGAATGTTAAGGGCCATTTCATCACCAAACCAGGTGGTTCTAGAGGTCTTTGTATGACAGAGTTCCCCTACTGACATCCCAAAGGAGGCCAAGCCTTCTATGCTTTTAGCTCCTGGATAGAGGGGCAGACTTTGACACCTTAATCTGACATTCCCTTAAAGCTGCAGGCAACATATTCTCCTGTCCTGATGTTCTGCATTGCTGCTCCTCGCAGCTGTGGCTGCACTTCAGGAGCTGGGACAGCACTCTGGGATCCTTCAGAATAAAAGGATTGTTATTGCAGAAGCTGGAAAAATGTCAGCAGAAAGGATGAAATACTGCCCCATGCCCTTGCCATACTGAACAGGGAATCTTTTCTTTCACTGTTGGTTTAGGACTTAATCCTGCAAGGTCTTGTCTGTCAGCAAATACAATCAGGTTTAAGAGCATGAATAATTATCCTAGGAAATCACTGGAAACTATTTTGTTAGTGTAAAATTAAGCAAGTGCAAAAGTTCTCCAATAGACTTGGAGCAGAGTACTCAGCACCCTGCAGAAATGAGCCTTTAGTTCTTAGAACCATTTATTGTGTCCAGAACAGCCATTCATTAGGGCTTTGTGCAGAGAGGTTGAATTTCACTCACTTGGAAGATACTCTTTCTAACCCCCCTGAGACACACAGACTTTTTGGTTGATTTGAAAAACAAAATGATTAATGGCATTTTACAAGTTTTTCCACTAAACAGATTTCAGTTGAAGTCTGTCACAAGCTAAAGAATTTGCAGGAATAGTGTCAATCTGATGACATAGTGGCAATAAATCCTATTGTACTGGATTACATTTTTACCCATTAAAATGCTTTGACCTATTGTCATCCAAGTAGAACCACATTCCACTGGCTGTTCAAAAGGTTCTGATTTCACTCGCGATTGTTACCAGGGCAACTGCACCTCCATCCAAAACTCTGCTGCACCAATCAGTCGACTCGATTCAAACAGACTCATGTAGATAAAGTAAAGCACTAATTACTTATTCCCATTGACAAAGTCTAAATCAAATCTTTCTGAGACCTGAAACGCACAGAAGTTGTTTGAGGGTTTCTTGTTTTTCTTGCAGGAGGCACCAATTGCTTCCTTTCTTTCAGGAATAGAAACCTGTGCTCACAAAATGCCATGAGAAGATTAATATTCTTAGTCCATCCAAAGCAAGAGTGCGTTAGAAATCTCACCACAGGCCACTCCTGGAAAGAGTTCTCACTCAGTTGTGGAAAACTACAAGGATTTTCATTAACAGTCAAACAGCTGGTTAAGGCTTATGAGTGGAAATAGAAATAGTTGGATTTTCCCATTGAGATTTCTGGTGGAAAGTGGGCTGCATTTTATGGCAACAACTTTTATATGTATTAAGTGAATATCATCACAGTTGTTCAGATTTGTCTGAATTTGAGCTATCTTTGAGTGGGAGAATGCCAGTTAGGAATGTGCATGTTCTCCCATAGCTGCTATGGATCAGCATTTCTTGGAGAGCACAATGGGCCATGAAGGCCACATCAGGGATCTGGTCAGTAAAGTCAGCTCAAGTCTGGTCACGGCCAAGAAACACAAAGGAAATGCCTTAATGCTGATGTACACAAAATCAGGTGCCAATTTAAAACCAGTTTGAGAGAGAGAACCTGGAGAGCCATTGTCTTCAAAGTTGCCTCAGGAATGGATGCGCCTTTCATTCTCAGACATGGAAAACTTCCAGCTAGTTTTAGTCTTTTATTCAGATGAGTCTTCATTTCACATCACCAGGTGAATCCCTGTCTTGCTTTCCCCTCAGAGTGCAGGAAAACTTGCCTGAAAAATGGGTTGTGCACTGAAACTGCCTCTATTCAGTTTGTTTCCCAGACTTTTGGTCAATTCTTAGATCTGTTCAGGCTATTATTGACCTCTACCATGTTGACAGCAAAGAGAAACCAAAAATTCAATGCTTCCTCAGCTGAAACTTTCCACAGGAAATTAAGGGCTGAAACACTCTCCACTTTTCCAATTCTCCAACCCAGCTTGTCACCACAAATAATATTTGAGTAGTTGAAGCATATTCTCTCCTGTCCACACTCTCAAAACACAAATTGAACTGCTTTAAGAAGAGGAACTAGTGCTACTATCATGACTGAAAACTACCAGAAGTGCTTAGTTGCTTGTGAAAAGAAGCACAGCGGCTTCTTGGAACACAGCACCACTTCCTGCCAGCCAGGAGGGACAGCTAGTCCGCTCATACAATAAAAGACAAAGAATCAAATCAAAGTTCTTCTCCTAATTTAGAAAAAAAACAGAACTCTGAGGTGGTGCTTGTTTGGCTTGCTTGCATTCAGCATATGGCATTGTCATTGCACAATGGGTTACTGGAAACCTATTCTGTTCTGTTACCAAACATTCTCACCAAAAGCTGATGGTCAGATTATTGGGCAAGAAGGGAACTAATATAAGAAAGTAGGGCAAGGCAGCAGCTAATCTAGAGGATCCTAGTCACTTTGAGAACGCTGAGTGAGGTGAATTAGCAGCGTCCTGTTGAAAGCCAGAAACTTTCTTAGTATGAAGTGTTCTCCAACCAACCTTTGCTAGATCTATTCAGAACCTCTTCCAGCAGAAGGGTTTCTCACTTTTCAACCTTTCTGTCTGGTAACACTTCCTTTGCAGGAGTTTGTTTTGTTAGAAACAGTTTCCTGAACATCAGTCCCTGTCCTTTTTGCCTCAAGAATGACAGATACAGAAACCTTGGTAAGAACTGGACTTGTATTTCTGCTATTTCTTCCCTTCTGTTGAAGTGCTGGGCTGTTACAGCTACACTAATGAAGCCCATCTAAAATATGGATTGCCTGGACTTTGCCTGAATTTAGTGAGTTTGCAGCTGGTTAACTCTGATCGATCCACTGACATTTGCTAGGCAGTGCTAAACCATTTATCAACATGTACTACAATCCTGTGTTTGACAGTACATACATCAATTGTCTGATCTCCAGGGAGCTTGGCTGACTTAGAGGTACCAATCTTGTTACATCTGTACATTCATACCGTTTCAAAAGCAGTAATGAAGCAAGTGCATCAGAATGCTTGTGCTTATTTCAAAAATGCCCATCAGCATTGCAGAATGTGTCACATAGATGTCCCAAGCCTTCTTTGCATTGCTTTAAATCATGTAAACAAAAGGAAACAGAAGAGAAGAGAAGAGGAAGAAGAGAATATGGAGAGCTGTTAGGCCAGTTGGCAAAGTCTTTGCAGCTCATGAAAGCTAAAGAGTTTTCCTCCTTTCTTTCATTCAGTGACTAATTTCTGTTACTGTAACTAGCAGTAAGAATGTTTATACCCACTGAAACTGAAGTATTCACTTCCTCTTCTCCATCTCCTAGGGTCACTTGTGAAAGCACTTCCCTCACCATTTTGGCTCAGGAGGAAAGCTTATAATATTACTACAAAATGCACTGTCTATAAAAGAATTTCTCTTGTCTACTAAAAGCTATAAGCTATAGTCTCACTGTGTATCACCATCCCCACGGGGAATGAGTCAGGTGTAATAAGAAACCTCGCTCCAAGTTCCCAGGAGACCACGCTACCAGGAGAAAGGCAAGTGATGTAATGCAAGGACACTACAAATGCTTTTATAGGAAGGGTCATATGGACAGACCACCTCACAGACCACCCCTCTCCCATCTGAATCACATCTGTCTTCTTCACAACATTGTCGTGGCCACCGCCAGGGGAGGAGAGCTTCAATCTGAAACTATGGCACAGGCATAAGTATTTGAGGAAGTCTGTCCTTGCCTTTGGCAGGGGGTTGGAACCAGACAATGTTTAAGATCTCTTCCAACCCAAACCAGTCTGTGATTCTAAGCTGACCAACAAGGAAGATGCAGAAGCCATTACTATGTAACCAAACCCCTGGCAAGGGCATTGCAACCCACAACATGACAATTGTATTGCCATCTTCCAACGTGTTCTGTCTGTTGGGTTAGTATTACTAGAAGGTTGTTTTCAGCAGGCAGAAGTAAAAACCCTCAATATACAGCAGGGAAAGGAAATATTATCCACCACTTTGCCTTCTATATGACCTTCCCAGAGCTTCAACTTACCTACAAAGGTATTACAGAGTTTTAAGTACAGTTTAAAATGCCTGTTCAGGATTTAGAAATACAGAAAGAGGGGCAACTCTAAGGCGTATGAACTTAATTCTTCCTTTCTTACCTTTGCTGGTGGATTTTCATGGCATACTAGGGGTCAGAATCTACCCACAGACTCCTTACACATAAATGCTTCTGCACAAGCACACATTCTCACAGGTCCCCATGAACAGACACTCAGCTCTAACAAAGTCCATTCTTGTATTTCAGGCCTTTGTTACTAGGCCCACTCTGCCACAATTGTTCCAACAAAGTGGTTGCCCAGACCAGACTCATAATGCAAGCTCTGGGGCAGAGTGGTTCTTCTGACTCACACTCATTTCAGCCAACATTTCTCACAGTCTGTAACCTTCAATTTCCTCTGGCATGAGCTGAAAGTGCCTCTGCTGATCTGCCCTCCTGACTCAAGAATTCATGCGGGCAGTTTTGCTGCACCTTAGCTTTGTTCCTCCTCTGGTAATGACAAGTTGAATAAACCCCACCAAAAATGGACAGACGGGAATGAAGGGAAGGAGGAACTGCCAAACTGGATCAGATCTGCAGTCTGTCTGTCTCTTATCCTGTCTCCACCAGTGGCTAATACCAAATGCTCCAGGAGAAGGTGTCAGAGCTTTGCAATAGGCAGCTCTGCAAGAATTCCCCTCCTCTAACAAGTTCTTATCCTGATCTTCAGTAATTAGAGGCTGGCTTCAGCTCTGAAAATACACAGCTTAATATCCTCCCCAAACATGTATTCCTAGCAGCTCTGCTTCTTTTTAATATTCAGATGAGCACCAAATCTCCTTCTGAATTTCAGAGAGAAAATCTGTGTTTCCAAACAAGTAACAAGCTGCCAGTTTACATGCAAAACACACTTCCAGTTGAACAAGATAAAGAGTTTATTCCCATACAGGTTGTTCAGTTAGTGTAAGACTCTCTAAGGTAACAGAACTTCTGTTTACATGTACACACTCAGAGGCAAGCACAGATAAGGAAATGAGAAATGGGCTTTACCTTAATGTCTGCTGAGATCTGAAAGAATCTCTGCTTCACTCCCTCCTTTCCTTTTCTCTGTCTCTCTGCCTCTCTCCTGCATGGCTGGACTGACAGGTTGGCAGAGCTGAGAACGACAGGTTGGGTTTGTTTTTTTAGGCACAACTCCTCCCCCTCTCAAAGAGAGAAAAAAATGTAAGACTGTTTGAGAAAAGTTCACAGAAAATCCCATCCTTTCAGCGCATTAGAACTGAAGAGAAATATGCTGTGTTTGGGAGCCCAGCAGTTTTACCAGTGCTGCTCAAAAGGGCTCAAGGTCTACTTTGCAGTAAATAGGAAGCAAGAGGAGGATTCACACCAGGAACTAATTGGACCCCCAACCTTTCTCTGACAACTGATCTAACAGTTAGCTAAAGCGCCTTTAAGGCAGCCTTGACAAGAGGCTTTTGTAAAAGTAGAAAGGACTTTTCGCACACAGCATAAATAGCTTTGGGCCTTGGGTCTCATCCTTGCATCCCACAACCTCTATGTATAATAAAAGTCACCAGCAGATGTTCGAAGTCCTCATTTTCCCCCCAGAACCCTCTGCTGCTGCTAACCTGCCTGCATTCACAGCAGAGAGCAGTGTGTTTTAAACTCTTGTTCTACTCCATCCTCTGACTTGGTTGCATAGAGACCAGCTCGCCTGCTGTCTCTGCCACTGAAATGTGATAGTAATCCCAGAGAGCTGGGAGGGATCTTTACCTGGCCACGCTGGCCACAAAAATGAGGTCAATGTAAAAGGAGGTGTATGCAGTACAGAGCAATCCCATCAATTGTGTGCCTCCACTGGCCTTCCCAGGTTTTTCTGCCTCACAGAGACAAAACACATTCCTGGAAACTCCTGCTACTACAAGGTTTTTAACTCAGTCCATTAGAGTATCACACACAAGGTGCAGACATCTTACCCTGAGCCTATCAATAAGATCTTCAGATGAGGGCTGTGTCCCACGAACTCTGCCTGCTCCTACTCCTGCACACCACTGCTGCTTGCGCCCGTGCCCATCTGGCCACAACACTTTGCTTCTGGGACGGAGGGGCAGAAATACTTGCCAATAGATGCCAAGAAAGAGGAGTAGAGAGGTTGGTGGCTGGTGATGGAATAGCTTCTATGCTCCCACTTGCCTGCAATCTATCAAAAGAATTGAGAAGCAAGTCTCTTTTGTGCTCTAATACTTTTTCCTAAGATGGCATGTGGGAACAAATCTGCAGTTTCTATGGCCTGTAACTGTCTCTCCCTTACCCTGCTGTTTCAAGCATACAGACTAATGACAGTCATCTGCATAAATTTGCATCACAGACTCCTTAAGTAGAATCCATATCTCCTCTGGGTCAGATTCACAGCTGGTTTGTTACAATAAAGTCAAAAAGACTCCTTTACCTGTGTCCCTATGGCTGCATTGCAGTGCTCAGGATGCTGATCAGCACCAGCTCCACAAGGCTGTAAGCGTACCCAAACTTTTGGAATAAACCAGCCAGTTTAATTTGACATTATGGTGAACTAGATTAGAGGTGAATTCAATGGGTATAACACAAAGTCTGTATTGTATCATATACAATCATGTCCAGTTCACTTCTTGCAATCTCAGCTTCTTCTCTCACACCAGGGGAGGGCCATGTCCGTCTATCCCAGGGCAGACTTTCTTTCCTCCCCAGTCTCCCACAGAATGTATTTTCTTTCTGTCTCTTTTATCAGGCAACTGTTCTCAATCGTGTTCAGCTCCTACTTAAGATTTCCAGAGAGATAACACAAATGCTCAGAAATCTTTCCTGCCAGTGGAACAAGTTAACTAAATCCAGACAAAACTGGCCAAGGCCAGCACTGAGGTTCAGTGCTAATGAATCATGGCTGCATGCACCAGTGCCTGCTGAGTGCCTCTATGAAGTGAGAAACTGTTCTTAAGGTTACAGCATGGTAATGGTCTTTATGTTTCTGCCCTGATTTCTAATACAGATGGGATGGGGATAAGACTGTATTAGCATTAAGTACGTGCCAGTCCTGGCATTACAGTATCAAAGGTAGATTTACTAGCAGAGATATCCCGCTGTAGCTTGCTTTGGCACTGATGTATAACAGACTTCTCAGTGTGCACCCCCCCCCAGCACTGTGAGGCTGAAGATCCAGATCCTTCTGAAGAATTGCAACTTGCAGAATCCTTATGGAGGGAGGATAGATCCAAAGAGGTTAATCGTCTCCTCTGACCCCTGTTTCCAGCCCCAGCCCCAAAGAGGTAGGAACTGAAAACATGCCCAGCACAACACTCTTACTTCACCTCTGGCATATTGGCCCCATTGGGGCTGGTCATCCCATGGGCTCTTGGAAGGGGAGGGAAGCTGAGCAGCAGCACTGCAGCAATGGGGAAGGTACCAACCTCCAGCTATAGCTTCCCGCTCAACCCCAAGCCAACCCTGTGACGCCAGCCTGGAGTATGACATGCCTTTGTGTGGCTGTGTCTACCCCAGCAGGTAAGGTCCACACAAGCCCACAGTTCTTAGCAAACAGAGTTGTTGTTAAGAGCTTAAAATCAGTCAATAAATGCACTTCAGTTAAGCACTGCAGTGAGGTCAGGTTTCTTGTTTTTCCTGTTTCACTAGCAAGTTTCAAGACAGACTAATAATGAACCCTCAGAGCACAGCTTATTACAGCATCAGAAAGGTTGCAAAATTGCAGACAACTTGGGTTTATTACCCTCGACTACTTACACTCCCTTTGAAAAATAGAAGGAAAGAACACTTTTTCTAATGTAACACTTAATCCAAAACGTCTTGATGCCAATGAGAAGATCCCCATGGTTTTTCATCAACTAAAGATCAATGTGACTAATATAAATCTGGGATTTTCATATATTGCTACTGGTTGTAGACTTGTGTGTCCCATTGATTTGCAATTGGATTCTCTAAGCCTTGCTCCCCATTCCTCCTTTTAGAACATCTGCCTGGATGGATGCACACAGACAGCCCTTTGTCTTTGCAAGCTTCTTGGGCAGGCATAAGCTGAGCAGACACCAATCGCCCTGCAGCCACCTCTGTATTGCAAAGGGAGTAAAAACCCCACAAATTTAATTCTCAGCTTTTAGCCTTTGGGATTGTGGATCATTCAAGCAACCCTGCAGTGGTCACTGATCCACATCCATCGCCTCAAACCCAGCAACAACATAATCTAGGCTGCCTTTTTGAACTGGCTGAGCCCCTTGCTCTAAATTTCCACCCATTCAAGGCTCAAACTCTCTTTTTACTACCTATAAACTGCAGGTGCTTAAAGCTTGATAGGGAGGTGAGAAGCCTCCTGCAGAGGGGAGCAGCAAATGGGATAGGGTGTATTATCTCCAGTGCCTACAGACTGGTGGTCCCCTGAAAACCAGCAAAGAAGTTCCTGTTATCAGAGGGCACAGATGTGAGTGTCACAGATCCTCTGGCACACCTGAGAGGTCATTGGGAGCTACAGAAGAGCTCCAGCCCTTTTACAAGGGCTGCACAGGGAGAATATTCCAGTCTGGGGACTGAATAATTCACCAAGAAATCAGCTGGCCAGTGTGGAAATAATTTTAAATGAACTGAGCCCTTAGGTATTACATTAACTGGATCTCCAGGGAAGGATGTGGATTACTGCAGCTGAATAGAGCCCTTATTTATCAGATGGAAAAGGTTAATGTCATTTCCTTTCCTCCATGGTTTTTCTTACCACATCACCATTTATGGATAGCATGAGGTGCAGACAGTGTAAGAACATGTGCTTGATTGTTTAAATGACCAGAGCTGTTACTTTGGGGGGGGGGGGGGGGGGGGGAGGTAAGAAATTAAGATTTCTCCTGGTTTCCTGGGGGAATTACAGGGCTAGGAAACATAAAACACTGAAGAAAGGAAATGGGCTTGTGGAGCACCTGGTCTTTGATTTGACATCCAAGAGTATCTAACTGAATGAGGGAATTTTTGCATTCTCATCTACTGTGTGTGCATAATAAGAACCAGGATCAAACTAATCTAATATCCTTATTTCATACTTTATAAAGAAAGAGTGCATTAAGAAAGGTCATTTTTTTTTACTCCTTAATGAAGTTTAAATACAGTTAAATTAAGTTCTACTAATAAAAGGTCTATGTTTTTTTTCCAATTTGTTTCTGGAGTCTTAATAGCTGTTGACCTGAAATAAATATCAGAGCGGTTCAGCTATCTATTATGTGCTTAACTAATGATGTCAACAGACAATTCCAATAGGAGCTAAGGAGACAATTTCCATGGCAATAAGAGTGAGAGCAGTGAAAGCTTAGAGCAAGAAAAGAAAACTTTTTGTGCTAGAAGACTCAAGAGACCTCAGTTTGTTTCCCTGTCTCTAGCACAGTTATGTCCTCAGGCAAGCCACCTGGGGATATCCTCCCAGTGTGGTAACAAAGATGGACCTAAACCACTCTGCCTGTTGTCAGAGAAGGATGATCACTTCTGACCATTTGGCAATTCAAGGATGTCAGGATCCAGCTCCCCATATGAGTCAATGAAGAAAGATGAGTATGGCATCTGTGCTGGACTTCTGAGTACAGCTCTTCCTCCTCCCAATGTCTATTGGTAATAGATAGGTGATGTGCATAGGTAATAGATAGTTTGAGTTCATCACCACCCTCTTGTTTCCAGAGCCAGCAGCAGAATTTAACTCCATGCTAGGCCCCATAAGAAGACATCTGAATACAGCTTTTGGTCTCTGACTACACAGAACTACAAGAAGTGGAATTGCCTCCTAGCTTCAAGGTCCAGCTGCTTCCCCCGCGCCCCCCCAACCCAACTCTGTATTAGAGCACAACTCAGGCATTAACCTTTCCATGGAAAGAAATCCAGGCTGAAGAGATGATGAGGGTCAGGACCTCTGTGTATACACTGGATGATCCTGGGACCTTTCTGGCCCCAGCTTTCCATCTGGTTGAAGGTCATAGTACTGTGAGTCAGTAGCATTACCTTACCTTGCAAAGGTGTTTTGAGGACAAAGAATTAATATCTGGGGGCAGTGCAGCGGGGATAGCTAATTCCAGCTCTGAATGAAATGAGGAAAAAGGTGCCCATTGACTTATATGGGATTTAGAATGAGCTCTTATTCATTTTACATTAGGCACCGAACAGCCATTTGAGGATAGCAGTGAATAACTATTAAAACTTGTGCACTTAATCAAGCAGCATCTAAGTTATAATGGAGTAAATTGATGTGTGTAGCTAAGGCAACCACAATGCGACTACTGAGCTGGCTTCATGAAGTGAGTATTTGCAGAGTATGAGAAGAAGCACATGTAAAAGCTGCCCGCATCTGGTCTGATGTGTTTTTCTTGCCCATAAAGGAACAGCTTTCCTGGACAACCAAGCACCAAGATATTACAGCAAACAGTCTTTCATGTAAAGCCAACCTTGACTTTGTTATAATTGCTATGTAAATATAATCCCACTCATCAATTAAATGCTACTCTCCTGGGCTGGAACATTATACATGTTCATTGAGATGGAATCCCTGTCAATTCAGTTTGCTAACTCAGTATTCATGTGCATTAGCCTTGGAAAAGAGAATGTGATTGCTTGAATAAATTCAGCCACTACCTCCTGCATCCCTGGATCAGGTGACACGCATCAGTCTGACTGTAATGTGGGTTTAGAAATATGTTGCCATGGAAATCCTAAATATTCAGCTCTTGGCAGGGGAATTCAAATGGGATACTTGATAAATAGAAATAGCCCAGCCCTTGCCAACCGCTGAGCTAACCCCTTGCTCTTAAGATGCTACCGAGAGTCAGGAGGTCATTGTTTTCCCAAAGTACTTGAAGAAGAAATCTTAATTTTCACTAACATTTGCACTCCCACTTAGTGAGCCAGGAAATCTCTCCCAGAACTTCCCATTGCATAAGCACAGTCTCTCTAGTGGGGTTATATTATTTTTGAGCTGCCTGGATCCAGCCAGTTCCACAGGCCAGAGGGTAACTGTTAATGGTCTCTGCCCGCTTAGGTATTGCTGCTCAGCAGTAGCCCTTGCACTCAAGATGACCTGTGCTTGCTGTCCCTGTGCACCACCCACATGGGGCCAGCCTGTGTTTGACCCCTTGTTTTATGGTTATTGTTTGTGTGACTGAACAGTCTTAATAATTCAGCACGGTTCTATAGCTTTGCTGTTTCCTAAAGCACAGTTGCAAACTTTACAACCCAAAATACAACTCATAAATAGATTTCCCTCTCGGGCAGAATCCAGCAGCTGTTTAACAACATACAACATCCCCCTGCAGCACTTTAGCACAAGGAGTAATGTGTGTCATACCTAATTAAGCTTTGGCAATTCAGGCTGGAGACCAATTCTTTGCTCCGTGTTGGTGAAACAGCACAACTGACCATTACTGGGGGTGTTAAGTACTACTGTAATACTTAAAATCTCAGCAGTTGTTACTGGGGAGGAGAAACTAAGTTCCATGGAGCATAGCAGACATTGTCCATAGACATTGAGGTGCTAGAGCATGTCCAGAGCTTCATT